AAAAAAAAAAAAATTATAATTCCTCAAAATATATTTGGAAATTAACAAGTTAGGTCGAGGTAAGTTTAAGTGACTTAAATCGAGCATAAAATATTTATGAATTTGGAAACTGTACAAGTATAGAAAAATAAACAGTAGTATAATTTCATTTCCATGACTTTTGGATTTACCGGCGGACCCCACAAATAATTTGATTTTTTTTTTTTGTAGCCCGAACTTGTGATAGAAGGAGTCCATTAAGTGAGAATATTATATTATTTAATCAATTAAGTGGTGTGTGTAAAAATTATATAAATTCAAATTTTGTTCAATAATTTGGTCTTATAAACTATGTCATTTGTCCTAATATTGTTTTATATTTTTACCATCATTAAATTTATGGTCAAACTTTATTTGAGATTGAATATTTCATTTTGTTTATTGAGTTTTAAGCTTATAGATTAGTTAGTTAAGAAAAATATGAATACATATTGCATACTTTAATTTAATGGCCCAAATTTAATGGACGTTTCAAGCCTCCAAAAACTCCGATCTCCATTAAATTTCATCTATACTGAACAATATTATTCCTGGCTCCACCACTAAATATTTGCATATGTTGTTGTTGCAATTTGTTATTTTCTTGAAACATTCATTGGATATCACACATTTTGGACTATCGTTGATGACAATATTCTTCTTTCACTTGAAAAATCCAACCGACTTGTTGTAATGACTAACATGTTCGTTGTTGTTCATGTATTGGAAATCATCAAGTAAATCTTTTTTTTTCGAAAATTTCCTGCTCCGATTTATTCAACTAGTTATATTTTATCGTGTTTATTCATCTTTAGTTTTTGAAAAACTCATGTGTATGTCATGTCGGTGTTTGACATAATAGAAACTTGGGGTGTAAGGCAAGGCACGATCGAACGCCAATGACTGAAGTCTATTGTTCTTGGAACGCCCGCCCGAATTTCACTAGAACGTCCTTAATTTTTGACCCCACAGTAAAAATGGTCTGGATCCGCCCCTGGATTTACGTTAATGGGTTCAAGGAAGTAGTCGTAATTAGGTCAATATCTGTTTCTGTTCTTATGCAGGCAAAACTGTCTAAACTATTTCACTTATCATCTCAGGAAAATATCGTTCATTCGATTCTTTCATTGCCAACTAATGAATTAATCTTTTTGTTCATTTTCAACTCTATAAATTCTTGGAAGAGATCTTCAGGGCAGTAGCAACTTTCAGTCAAGAAAAACCAAGTTTTATATTCAAAATGTGGTCTCGCAGAAACATTTTCACATTATTCATTTTAGTGATTGGATTTTTTTATAACTCCCTCTCTTCTGATTCTTCTGAAGCTTCTGTTCCACGATATCGTTTTGTTGCAAGTTCTGATTCTTGTTCTCTTTTCTCCTTCCTCATTTTTTTTCGACGGGATTATAATTACCTTTTTTTTTTTTTTGGTATTTTATGCATATTTATTAATGCATGTCTAATTTTTTTCTTGTTTTCTGGTTGCGATAAAAATTTGAACCATCTGAAATTGCAGGTGAAAGAAACTTCGTATGAAAGATTTACGTGTGAAAAAGAAAATTTTGATAGTAAATGGAAAATTTCCTGGCCCTACTTTAAAGGTTCACAAAGGAGACACTATTATTGTGCATGTTTACAACAGAGGAAAACACAATATCAGCATTCACTGGTATGCATGTATATGTGATATCGATGTAACAGACCCCACCCCCTGTTAAGGGATAAATTCTATGTAGGTTACTCATTTTAACAAAGTTGATATTTTAAGATCGAACCCTAAATTTTAATATGGTATCAGTGCGTCTTAAGTTTCAATGAGCAATTTGATCTAATTAATATTAAATCTACACAAACAAGACACCATCTTGCGGAGCATATAAGTTATAAATCTCACATCAATTTAATATCGAAATATAAAGGTTTTGAACTACTCCTTTTATCAAAGTTGACTTTTTAAGATTCTATACCAAATCTTAATGCCCCCACCCCAAACAGACATACATGTACATGCACGCGCACAAAAGTTCTTTGTACAATCAATAAATGCAAGACTGTGCAGTGGCATGTTGGGTAGGCTGCGTCAAAGAGTATTATTACTCTACTCGACAATATTAAAGAATAAAATGCACTTTAAAGTCTATATGCATCATGGTAACAAGAGTTGATGATTAGGCTTGAATTTTGCAGGCATGGAGTTGAACAGCCAAGGAATCCTTGGACAGACGGTCCCGCATACATCACTCAATGTCCAATTCAACCCGGTAATAAATTTAGCCAAAAGGTCATTTTTTTAACTGAGGAAGGGACACTATGGTGGCATGCTCATAGTAATTGGTCACGTGCCACCGTTCATGGGGCTATTATCATCTACCCGAAACGTGGTACTTCCTATCCATTCTTAAAACCTCGTGCAGAAGTTCCAATCATACTAGGTATATGTCGAAATCATGTTTCATGTTACATTTCATATTATTTGCAATATATATTAAGCTTCATTTTTGGGTTTTCTTGATTTATAAGGGGGGTGGTGGAAAGAAGATGTCAATAGAGTTATTGAGGAATTCCTTGAAAGTGGAGGCCAACCGAGGGATTCTAACGCTTATACCATAAATGGTCAGCCTGGTTACTTTTACCCCTGCTCGAAGCGTGGTGGGTATTATTTTGTTATCTTTAATAATGAGTTTATGCTAAGTATCGATGACATGATATAATAATTACCAATAAGTCTAAACATTTAATGTGACCCACACTTTCGTATCTCTACTCTAGCCGACCTTTTAGTACGTGCATCAATTATATTTATTTTTTTATTTGGCAGGAACATTTAAGATGGAAGTGAAAAATGGCAAGACCTATCTCCTGCGCATAATCAATGCTGACATGAACGAAATTCTCTTCTTTGGGGTTTCAAACCACAATCTAACATTGGTTGGCACTGATGGAAGTTACACCAAGCCATTAACAAGAAACTACATAGTCATGAGCCCTGGCCAAACAATGGACTGCATTTTGCATGCAAATCAAGAACTTAATGATTATTACATGGCTGCTAGAAGGGGCGGACCCACGTGGTGTCATGTGGGGTCAAATGACCCCACAAAATTTTGGATTTTTTTTTTAACTACCAGCCCCAGTTACCCAAGAGCAGCCCACAACCTACAAGCCCAAATCCAATTACCCAACCCAACTTCTATGACCTAATATTCCCAACAAATCCCAATTTCCCAGATGGTGCGTCACTCGTCTCTCTTCTCCTCTGTTTTATAGTTTTCCTCTTCCCCCCTCCGCCCGATCGCCCCTGCTATAGGTTACTGCTACTCGGATATGGACTCCATCAAAAAGGCATGTAGCAGTACGGCAGTACCTGTACGTGTTTGGATTTGTATTTTTGACCGAGTAAGTCCCGTTCTTAGAACATGGGTTTGTAATATTTGGATTTATTTTTTGCAAATTAATATGGATAAACAATGGATTTGATTATTCTAAAATATATTTGGTAGTTCCGATTTCGGATTTGAGGACTGGAAACATTGTATGTCTAAAATTGATGAATTGAAAGTATTCGATGAAAATACACACTGATTTGGTATGAAATAATGGAACTGATTTTTTACAATTTGGGAACAATCAATTGCTTAAAATATTGTGAAGTCTATTATTTGAAATTGGGAACAATCAATTGTTTAAATTACAGTTTCAATGTATTTGGATGACTGGAAATAATTATTCAACAGAACAAATACAAGATACAAGAGCTGCAACTGCAATTTTGGAAATATTAGACTTCATTCTCAAAAGTCAAATCTCAATTCCAAGTACTGAAGTAAGTAATGGCTTTCTCTAATCTGGTGATTTAGAATTGTTTATGAAAGGAATTGTTGTTTATAATGAATTTAACATTACGTATCAAGAATCGACTGCATAATCGAATGAGAGATCAATGGTTAAGTGATAGTTTGGTTGCATATAGTGAGAACGATGTACTTAACAATATTGATAACGATGTAATTATACGACGTTTTCAGACTATGACGCGTAGGCTACATTTGTAATAGCGTATTGGCTTATTTTTGTTAATGATATGTTATTCTAAACATTTTTGAATTTTCATTTTTGACCCCACAATACAAATTGTCTGGGTCCGCCCCTGGCTGCTAGGGCTTACGTCAGTGGAGCTGGAGTTGGAGTTGATTTTGATAACACTACAACTACAGCAATTTTACAATACAAACAAAATTATAATTTCACTCCATCTTCACCTCCTTCTTTGCCTTACCTCCCTTACTATAATGACACTTCTGCAGCAGTAAATTTCAGTTTTAGCATCAAAAGCTTGAATTCAGAATCCCATCCAGCCTCAGTTCCATTAAATGTTAGTACCAGATTGGTGTCAACTGTTTCTGTTAACACATTTCCTTGTGCGAGGAATTCAACATGTGAAGGACCAAATGGTACGAGATTGGCTGCAAGTATGAACAACATTAGCTTTGAAAATCCTTCCATTGACATTCTTGAGGCCTACTTCTATCGAATACCGGGTATATTCGGACGAGGGTTCCCGAGCTTTCCACCATTGGAGTTCAATTATACTGCAGATTACTTGCCTTTGGAACTAGAGATTCCCAAAAAAGGACACAAGTGAAAGTTTTGAAGTATAATTCCTCAGTGGAAATGATTTTACAAGGGACAAATTTGGTTGCTGGGATTGATCATCCCATGCATTTACATGGATACAGTTTTTATGTTGTTGGGTGGGGATTTGGAAACTTTGATGAAGATAAGGACCCGTTGAACTATAATCTTGTCGACCCTTCCCTTCGTAACACAGTTTGTGTCCCCAAAAATGGCTGGACAGCCATCAGGTTCAAGGCAAGCAATCCTGGTAATACATCATTCCCACCTTATTATTGTTATTGTTGTTATTAATATCAAATAACCTTGTAAGTCAAATGTATTCGTAAAATTTTGCCTTCAAGATGCCCTCCACGTTGTTTTGAAACTATTCTCACATTGAACTGCCTCGTCTAAAGTTTATTCTGTTACACAAAGAACAAATTGATTTGTTTGTGTCTCTAACGATTGTTTTTTCCTTGACTACAGGAGTGTGGTTTATGCATTGCCATCTTGAACGTCACCTGTCATGGGGCATGAATACAGTATTTATAGTGAGAAATGGAAAGCTTCTCGAGGAACGTCTGCTTCCGCCACCCCCAGATATGCCACCATGTTGATGCTGTAAATATAATTTCTATGCAAACAAAGATTAATTCATATAATTTCTATAATTAAGATTAATACTTCAGCAATGTGTTATTTGAATTGTTCTGAAAAGTTGGATTAATGGAATGTAATGACAATATTAATTATTAAATTAATATTATAAAGCTCAACAATTTGGGAATAAATACACTTTAAAACTTTTTATATTCCCAAAATATTGTTTTATGTGTTAAGAGTGTAATATTATTTTACACACATTTCACCGCCTACTTGCACCACATGTATATCACAGTTTGTTAAACATATTTTGCAGTATATTTTCAGTGCCATCGCTGCCCACCGACACCGCTACTACTTGTAACATTTAGGATTACGCCATTAATGAAAGTTATACAATGAATATTAAAAATCCTTTTCAATTGATACAATTTTTTGATATATACCAATATATGAATTTTTTGAGTGTAAAAAAAAGTTTAAAAATAAGGCCCTGTTTGATTTGGCAATTTTTCCATGGAACTTGGAAATAAAATTTCATCTTCCACCAAAAGTCATGTTTGATTGGGAAAATCTTCTTGACAATTCATTTTCTATCTTTTGCCTCACACAGTTCCAATTCCATGGCTTTGAATCAATTCCCACCAATTTGGTGGGATTT